CCAGCGCGGAAACAGCTGGCCGTTCTGAGGGCGGCGGGGCTTTCACAGGAAATAAACCAGGGAGCGAGTGTGCGTCACCGTGTGAGCGTGTGCACAGGGGTGTCTCAGACTGTGTGGTGTGTGAGTGTGCGAGGCGGGTGTGTGTGTGTGTGTGTGTGTGTGTGTGGCTGTCAGCATGAGACTGAGTGTAAAAGCGGGTGAGGGTGTACCTGTGTGTGTGTCCGTGTGTGAATGTATACAGTGTGTGTGTCCATGAGGCATATCGGTGAATAAGGGGGAGTTCGTGTGTGGGTGTGAGTGTTGCTGTGAGTGTATCAATGTGTTAATGTATGTGTATTTGTGAGGTGAGTGTGTGTGTGCATCTGTGTGTGTTTTTGTGTGCATCTGTGTGTGTACACCTATGTGTGAGTTGGTGTGTGTATGCACCTGTGTGTGAGTTGGTGTGCATCTGTGTGTGTGTGCATCTGTGTGTGCACCTCTGTGTGCGCATCTGTGTGTGTGTGCACCTATGTGCGAGTTGGTGTGTATGTGTGTGCATCTGTGTGTGTTTTTGTGTGCATCTGTGTGTGTACACCTATGTGTGAGTTGGTGTGTGTATGCACCTGTGTGTGAGTTGGTGTGCGTGTGTGTGTGTGTGCATGTGTGTGTGCACCTGTGTGTGAGTTGGTGTGCATCTGTGTGTGTGCATCTGTGTGTGTGCACCTGTGTGTGTGCATCTGTGTGTGTGCACCTGTGTGTGAGTTGGTGTGTGTGTGCATCTGTGTGTGTGTACCTGTGTGTGAGTTGGTGTGTGTGTGCACCTGTGTGTGAGTTGGTGTATGTGTGCACCTGTGTGTGAGTGCACCTGTGTGTGAGTTGGTGTGTGTGCGCCTGTGTGTCAGTACATGTGTGTATCAGTGAGTGTGTGGGTGTGGTGAGTGTCTGTGTGACTGTGTGTTGCCGTGTATCCTGTGTGAGTGTGGCCAGGTGTGTGGCCAGGTGTGGCCTCCTCACACCACACTGCCCCCCGCGGGGCTGCCCCTCCTGTCTCCCCGATGCCTGGGCAGGTGCGGCCCCGGCGGTCCAGGATGGGCCGAGGAAGGACCTGCGCTCAGGAGCGCCCACTGCCAAAAGGGGCTGATCCCCGACGACTGAGGCCCAGTGTCTCCTCTGCCGCTGCCATTAGGAGCTGCTCATTATGCTAATGGCTCCCTACCCAGCTCCACGTGTGCAGCACCCCCACAGCCCGCCCAGCTGGGCGCAGGGGTGCCCCACCCCGCACACAGGCATTCAGGTCAGCGTGCAGCTCTCCATCACCCCCGGGAAGCTCCTGTGGCCGCAGGTGGCCGTGAAGATGAATGGCCGAGGCTTCTGGCTCTCCCGGGACCTGCTCATTCGGACCCAAGTCCGGCCTCAGAGGGACAAGATGCTGCTTCAAGCAGTGGGTGCCTCAGCCCAGAGGGCACCACTGGCAACCGTCAGGCGCCCCCAGGCCTCGCATGCCTTCTCAGTCCTCCCCAGAACCACCAGCAACACTGGGTGCCTGCCAGCCTCACCAGGTCCCTCCAGGCACAGTCTGGCCTCGCCAGGCCCCGCCAGGCCCCATCGGCCGACTAAGTGCTTGGAGAAATATCGCCAGGAAATTGAACAGCAGCCCTGGGCCTGGGCCTGCCTGCCCCGCATAACTTCACACACGGGGTGTTCCTGTCGCTTTTCGCCAATCATGAGCTGTAATTGGTTACCATGGAAACCCCTCATTTCCAGGCCACCGGCTGCTACGCAGAAAAGCCAACCCATTGCCTGGGCAGGGAGCTGGTGTGTCTCCTCCGAGTCCAGGTCCATCCTCCCTAAAAGGGGGTTCGCTCACCTGGGACAGCAGGCGGCCGGGCGAGCAGGGCGGGGTGCCTTCATGGGGTGTTCAGGGTGATACCTGGTTCTGGAATTACCAGCGGGACGGTCGCACCACCTTTTGAACACGCTAAACCCACTGACTGGCACACGCTTAGAAGGCGAAGTTTAGGGCATGCCAGCGATGGCTCAGGAAGCGGGCTGTGCAGGAGTCGTGGAGAGACCGGCCCGGGGCTCTGGGAAG